TTGTCTTTTTGAAGCAGGATCTCCCTGTAGCCCCAGCTGTCCTGGAACTTACTATGTAGACCAGGCTGGCCTTGCACTCACTGAGATTCGCCTCCCAAGTGCTGGGACTACAGGTGTGCACCACCATGCCCGGCTCAGTTTAAAAATATTTAAAAACGCTAACTTGAATCTAAAGATTGCATTATAGAAATTTACAATCTCAGAACTCTCAAAGTTACAAGCCCTAAATTAAAATTTTACAGATTAAGACTACACAGAAAATTACAGAATTCTTTCAAAACACTAGCTATTTGTCATAACCCACCTTGAATTCTCTATCACCAATAAACAGATTTAGTTCTATTCGTCCATATCTATATATAGATGCGCAGGAATACAGATCATACACAATTTTCCAAAGTATTTTTCGTTCATATTTACTTGGGAGGATTCCAAAAATTTTTAATGGAACACCTGTCAGGAATACAAGCACAGATTTGGATAAGGTTCTTTTTAAAACCTTTCCCTATAACCTACTGAGGCAAACTAAATTAACAATAATAAGTTTATTTCATTCAAAGTAAGCATCCAGAGCCGGGTGTGGCAGCACAAAGCTTTAATCCCAGCACTCAGGAGGCAGAGCCAGGTGGATCTCTGTGAGATTGAGGCCAGTCTGGTCGACATGCTGAGTTTCAGGCCAGCTGGGGGAAAAAAGCTAATCATCAAAGATCTAAGATGGCAGATGACACCTGGATGTGATCTGCTAGAACCTCCAGAGAATAAACTAGGGACGGCTATGCAACACCTATCAAAAGAGGTGGATGACGGGGCTGGAGAGATGCCTCAGTGGTCAGGAGTATTTGCTGTTCTTGCAGAGGTAAGTGTTCAGTTCCCAGCACCCAAATGGAGGCTCACAACTGGCTGTAACTCCAGTTCCATGAGATCCAATCCCATCTTTTGACCTCTGCAGGCAGTACATGCACATGATGCACATATATGTGGGCAAAATACTCATACACATAAAATAAAAACAAACTTTTTAGAAATATTTTATTTTTACTTTATGTGTATGAGTGTATTGCCTACATGTATGTGAGTGTACTCATGTTGTGCAATGCTCATGGTGGCCAGAAGAGGGCATTAGATCCCCTAGAACCGGAGTTAGAAATGACTGTTAGCCTCCATGTGGGTGCTGGGATTCGAACCCAGGTCCTCTAGCCATTGCTCTTGACCGCTGAGCCATCTCTCCAGTCCAATAAAAACAAATTTTTTAAAAATGAAGAGGTAATGCCCCAAAGTGTCTAGTAAAATTTAAAAAAATAGGAAGTAAAATAGGAAATTGTAAATAGCAGAACAGGGAGCTAGGGAGATGGCTCAGTAAGAAAAGTGCTATGCAAGCTTGAGGATCTGAGCTCAGATCCCCAGCACCTATGTAAACAGCCCTCCACTGAGGAGGTGGACACAAGAGGAACCCTGGGGCTTGCTGGCCAGTTGGTCTACCAGAATAGGTGAGTTCCAGGTTAAGGGGGAGATTGTCTCAAAAAATAAGATACAGAGTAGTTGAGAAGGTCACCCAACACTGAATTCTGGCCTCCACATGTAACACACATACAAGTGCACATGAACATGCAAGACACACAAAATACAAATAATTAAAATTATTAAAAGCAGAAGAGAGCCAGGTGTGGTGGCACACGCCTTTAATCCCAGCACCTGGGAGGCAGAGGCAGGCGGATTTCTGTGAGTTTGAAGCCAGCTTGGTCTCCAAAGAGAATCCAGGCCAGCTAGGGCTACAGGGAGACCCTGTCTCAAAAAAAAAAAGAGCAGAAGAAGGAAAAGACAAAACCCATCCTGGAAAGATTGGCATGCTCTGGAGTTCACCCCTTCTAGTGAGAGAGTGACCAAAGTCATGCTTAAGACAGGGAGCTACAGAAAACTGACACTGCACTATTTTTGGGATCCCATGGGACCCGAGTTACAGATGGTTGTTAGCCACCACATGGGTGCTGGGAACCCAACCTGGGTCCTCTGCAAGAGCAGCAAGACCTCTTAATTGCTGAGCCATCTGTCCAACCCTGACGCTGTACCCAGTAACAGACATTTTAGAGAGAAAGAGAAGAGGGAGGGACAGAAAAGTTGCCCATGACTACAGAGGGAGGAGAGCTGCTAAGAAAAACCCTCTCAACTGAACGGAGCAGCCACAAAACACCATTTTAAAGACTCCTGGGGCTGGAGAGATGGAGCAGAGGCTAAGGGTGCTTATTGCTTTTGCAGAAGACTCAGGCTTAGTTCTGCATGTCCACCCTAAGGTGGCTCACAATGTCTATAAGTCCAGCTCCAGGGGATATGATGCCCTCCTCTGGCCTCTGAGGGCACCTACATGCACGTACACACACACACATATGCATAAATAAAAAAATTAAAAAACAAAACAAACAAAAAAGACTCTTGCTGAGAGTCTGGGACCCTTAGTGGGTCCGATGCTCAGGGAACTGCACTCTTGGGAAACCAAGAGAAAGTTATCATGGGACTAAAGACTGAAACCTGGTCAGCAGAAATCTAAAACTGCAAAGAAACTTATAATCCGAACCATGCAGTATTCAGTGAGGTGGAAACCTGGATGAAGACGGAGTCTTTAGGAGAACATACAGACGTTTCAGGTGACACACCTGGACATCTGAAGTACAGCCCAGGGGCAGGACAAGCATTTGCAACTGTTCTGAAGGCACACATACAGATCCAGCCATCATCTGTGACCAGACTGGAGGACAGTCCACTGATGGGATAAGCACATATGACCTGGTGATAGGCACCGGGGAGCCAAAGATGTAGCTAGCAATCAGGGAGACTGCGTTCAGGTTATATCAACGTCCAGCCTTCCCCCGTTCACATTTACTTCATCTGTTTCTGTTTAATACCCAACATCAATTTAGGAGGCCAATAGGTCTTTCTCTCCCTCCATTTTTCCTGGTAGTCTTTCTTTCTCTTTTTGCCAGGCCTTTCCAAAGTATGTGGGCTAGCCTGGCTTGTAGGGGCTCTTGTGTCTCAGCCCTGATGGCTGGGACTCTTTTAGGCTGTCAGATTGCATTTACCCCTCTCTTAGTCGTTCTACCTTTGTCAAAACTGCTTCACTGGCCCCCTGTTGTTCTAATACCTGACAAAACAGACTTCAAATCAAAAAAGTAAAAAGGGATAAAAAAGCCACTTCATAGTGATTATGAGAACAATTTATCAAGAGGATATTTCATATGCACCAAGCAGGAGTGTACCAAATTTCATAAAACAAATTTATTACAAGTAAAAACATAGATTAGCCCCAACACAACAATAATGGGTGACTTCAATACCTCACTCACAATCAACAATCTTTTTTTTTTTTTTTTTTGGTCTTTTTGAGGCAGGGTCTTCCTGTAGCCCCAGCTGGCCTGAAATTTGCTATGTAGACCAGGAAGGCCTTGGACTCACAGAGATCCACCTGCCTCTGCCTCCCTAGTGCTGGGACTAAAAGTGTGCGCCACCATGCCCGGCTCACAATAGACATTCTTATTAAAAAAAAAAAAAAAGGCAGAGAAACATTTGAGAAACATCTGGGCATAAATCAAATGTATTGAACAGACATCTATAGAACATTCCATCCAACACTGCAGAATGCACATTCTTCTCAGCAGCCCATGGAACTTTCCAACACATAATAGAAAACGAAGTTAACAAATACAGGACAATCAAAATAATGACTACAATGAAGAAACTACAAAACAAACACAAACTCATAGAGACTGACCAACACACTTACTGAATGATGAATGGGTAAAGAAATCGAGAAGGAAATAAATTCCTGGAGTCATATGAAAATCAAAACACAATATACTGAAACCTACAAGATACAATGGCAGCAGTCCTACGATGGAAGCTTATATACTAAGTGCCTGCTTTAAAAAACAAAAGAAATCAGAGAGCTCTCAGATAAATAATCTAACAAAGTACCTTAAGTCCTTGGAAAAACAAGAACAAGTCAAATCTACAATCAGAAGATGGAAAGAAATAACTGCAACCAATGCAGAAATTTGAAATGGAAAAAAATAATACAAAAACTAATGAAACAGAGTTGGTTCTTTGAACAGATAAATGAGCCTCACAAACCCATAGCCAAACTAACCAAAGGAAAGAGAGAACCCTAAATTAACAAAATCAGAGATGAAAAGGGAGACATTACAACAAACACCAATGAAAATTCAGAAAATTAGGACAAAAAGGACTTATATTCTACTAAATTGAAAAATCTATAAAGTAATGGATGTATTTCTAGATACATATGACCTAGCAAAATTAAACCAAGAGAGATCAACAAGTTAAACAGCTCCAAAACAAGCAATGGCACTGAAGCAGTGGAAAAAATCTGACGCAAGTCTGGTATATTGTGTGTACTGCTGAAGAACTGTTCTGCAAAACAAGGGAGCAGGAGAGATGGCTCGGCATTTGCTGTTCTTTCAGAGGACCTGGGTTTGATTCCTAGCACCCGCTGGCAGCTAATACCTATCCTTGAGTTCCAGTGTATCTGATGCCCTCTTCTGGCCTCTCTCAGATTGCATTTACCTCTCAGTCATTCCACCTTTGTCAAAACTGCTTCACTGGCCCAGGCACACATGGTACATTTATATCCACACATCCACACAGGCAAAATACTTATACACATAAAATAAAAATAAACTTAAATGAAGAGACAGTCTACAGAACAGTAGCAAAGTCTTTGCTAGCTACTATCTAACAAAGATTTCATATTTAGAACATTCAAAGAGCTAAACAAAAATAAATTTTTAAAAAAGCCCTAAGCAACAGCTCAATCCATAAATGGGCTAATGAAATGAATAGATAGTTCTCAAAAGATGAAACACAAATGGCCAAATAACACAAGAAAGAATGTTCAACTTCAGTAGTCATAAAGAAACACAAATGAAAACTATATTGAGACTCCTCTTACCCCAATCAGAACAGCATTAAGAAAGGAACAACAAATGTGGGCAAGGATGTGCACAGAAAGGAACCATTATACACTGCTGATGGGAATGTAAACTAGTCTAGTCATGGAAATCAGTACGGAGGGTCCTCAAGAAGCTAAAACTAGACCTGCCATGGGACCCAACTATATATTACCCCTGTATATTCACCCCTGTCAACCTATCACAGAGATATTTGCTCATCAATGTTTACTGCAGCACTATTCACAATGGCTGCACTATTGAACCAACCCAGGTGCCCAAGAGCAAAGGAACAGATAAAGAAAAAAGTTATACTGGACACCATGTACATTGTTTCAGTCATAAAGAACAAAATCATGTCATTTGCAGGAAAATGGACACAACTGGAGATAATCATATTAAGAGAATGAAGACAAATATTGTGTTTTCCCTCACATGTGGTTACTGGGTTTTTTTTTGGGGGGGGGGTCTTTTTGAGACAGGGTCTCCCTGTAGCACAGCTGGCCTGGAACTTGCTATAATAGACTAGACTGGTCCTGAACTCACAGAGATTGGCCTGCCTCTGTTAGGATTAAAGGCATGTGTCACTGAGCCAGGCTTTTTTTTCCTTTGGTGCTACTGGGTTTTTTTTTCTTTTAATATTTTATTTTATGTGTATGAGTATATTGCCTGCATGTGAATGCACCCGTGTCCTGCAATGCCACGGAGGTCAGAAGAGGGCTTCGGGTTCCCCTGGAACTGGAGTTAAGGACAGTTTGTAGCTGCCATGTGGGTGCTGGGAATCAAACCCAGGTCCTTTGCAAGAGCAGTCAGTGCTCTTAACCACTGAGCCATCCCTCCAGCCCCACTACTGGGTTTTTATATCAATGCATAGAATCATGTATGTATATATGACATGAAAGTAGAAGCAAAACAGTTTAAGAGAACAAAGGGGATGAACTGAAGGGGTGAAAAAGAGGGTAAAGGGTATAGAAAGAAATGCCTGTGCTCAACAAAACACACACTGAATGAAGAGGTCTGTATGTAACACAGTTAGAAAAAACAAACAACTAAGCTTCATTTTTTTCCTTTAATATATAACCTGGCCTTTAAGTAAATAAAATTATTTGTCTGGAGGAAAAACGAATGCCATGTTTAGTCAAAGAACAGCTACCCATGAACGGAACAATCTCAATCTCTACATATTGCATATACAGCTAATAAACAAATTAGGTATGCTGGTAAAGAAAACTGGCAGTTTATAACGCATTAGCTTTAGTGAATGAAAAATATTACCTGCTGACCAAGCAGCTGCTTTCACTCCCAAATTCTGAAAAAGCTTATGTGAACTCAACTCTGGTCTTATGAGTTCCTGATTTCTAGGATCCATTTTAAAGAAGTCACAGTGAACCACTTGTAGCTCTCCATCCAGTATTTTCCTTAAGGACTAAAAAGATAAGGGGATAACATTAGAAAACTGACCATTCTGTACACCTTGTTACAATTCAAAGATCTACCTTAAAAATAAGTAGATGGAATCTATCTTTTCTGCTATCAAATGACTCAGTTCATTATTATAACTCAAGGACCATCTTCACCTTTCCATACACATTTTTAATTCAGAAACTTTAGCTGCCATATGGGTGCTAGGAATGGAGTCCAGGTACTCTGCAAGAGCAATAAGTGCTGTTAACCTCAGAGCCTTCTGTCCACTTCCCCATTTACATTTTTAAATATTTTATTGTTTCTATTTTATGTGTATGAGTGTATTGCCTGCATGTATGTGAGTGCACCAATGTCATTCAATGCCACGGACATCAGAAGAGGGCATCAGATTCCCCGGGAACTGGAGTTAAGGACAGTTTGTGGCTGCCATGTGGGTGCTGGGACACAAACCCAGGTCCTCTGCAAGAGTAGTCAGTACTCTTAACCGCTGAGCCATCTCTCCAGCCCCCCCCCATTTACATTTTTAAATGATAAATGCAACCTCAGACTTGTCCACTAGAAGAGGTCCAATACTAATCTTTTCACTACCCAGATTTGTTCTCTTGCCAGCAATTAGAGTAAGAATTAGCTGCTAATT